TGGTCTGATGAGTCTCGATTTCTGTTGAGACATTCAGATGGTAGAGTCAGAATTTGGCGTAAACAGAATGAGAACATGGATCCATCATGCCTTGTTACCACTGTGCAGGCTGGTGGTGGTGGTGTAATGGTGTGGGGGATGTTTTCTTGGCACACTTTAGGCCCCTTAGTGCCAATTGGGCATCGTTTAAATGCCACAGCCTACCTGAGCATTGTTTCTGACCATGTCCATCCCTTTATGGCCACCATGTACCCATCCTCTGATGGCTACTTCCAGCAGGATAATGCACCATGTCACAAAGCTCGAATCATTTCAAATTGGTTTCTTGAACATGACAATGAGTTCACTGTACTAAAATGGCCCCCACAGTCACCAGATCTCAACCCAATAGAGCATCTTTGGGATGTGGTGGAACGGGAGCTTCGTGCCCTGGATGTGCATCCCACAAATCTCCATCAACTGCAAGATGCTATCCTATCATTATGGCCAACATTTCTAAAGAATGCTTTCAGCACCTTGTTGAATCAATGCCACGTAGAATTAAGGCAGTTCTGAAGGTGAAAGGGGGTCAAACACAGTATTAGTATGGTGTTCCTAATAATCCTTTAGGTGAGTGTATATAAGTTTAGATAATGCGGGCTGACAGCTTCAACAAAAGCATAAATCATCGATTAACGATCTCGGAGCTCACAGTTGGGCTGGCTTTACATGTTTATAAGTTAGGGTTAAAAATTAATTCCCCTATGGAGAAAATGAATGGAATGACTATCAATATGTTCGATTAAATGCACAAATACATTTTCGAAAAAATGATATTACTTATAATAACAATAAAAACGCATGGAAGAGGGCCCTATAGTGACACTATTATAGTCATTTCAAGAAATGCCCTCCAATAAAAAACAATAGGTTACTGTCGTAACCCCGGTTCTCTGAAACATCGAGTGGAGAGATCCACCTATGGGAAAGGCATCCGTACCTGACCTCTGCAGAAGCATCCAATTGCACCAAGTCTGGCTAACAGACAGAAGCACGCAGCCAATGCCAGGTGAGGCCACACCCCCTTACTTACGGGCATATCACAGCTGGGCGCGCTTCTCGTGCGGCAAGCGGGGCAAAGCAGGTGGATCTCTCCACTCGATGTTTCAGAGAACCGGGGTTACGACAGTAACCTATTGTTCTCTTTCATCATCTCGTTTCGAGATCCACCTCTGGGAGAGACATGGACAGCTCCCCGATTGCCCAATACACTCACAGTGAGGTTCTGAAGGCCAGAGAAGGACGGTCACCTCAGAGAGGCGGTGCCTGACACGTCCCACAAACATGACCCTGCAAGTTTTCCGCCACGCTAACTGCTGTGGACAAGCAGGGCATGAAACATGCATGAGACACATACATGATAATGGCCCCCGCTAACCTGACTCCGCCAGATGGATTTGCTCCGCATATCCATCTGGAAACCTTCCGTTGAAGTAGTTTTGGTAAGGGGCGAAAATACTGGTTAGCTGATTGGCCTATGTTGGTGATAGACGGGCCAAATCAACCAATCAGATCAACGAAGCATATGACGTACTAACAGAGCGTATCTTTTCCTCTGAGAAAAGCCTCCAGAGCAGTGTTTTGCTCTTCTTTCAGTGAAGAAATACTCTGTAATTCCGATAAAACTTGCTCGATAGCTACGCTGATGCTAGTTTCATCCGCTGAAGCCGACATGTTCTTTAGACTGAACTGACGCGCTTCTCGTTGCGTCACACCTCAACCCGCCTCAAAGCCAACGCTGATTGGACGTTCGTTTGGTGAACTGCTCCCAAATTTTCTTTAACGGAAAGTATCCAGACTGATCTGCGAGTGAAACCTTGAAAGCTCGCGAGATCAGGATGGTCTCACGAGGCTAGGCCCCCGCACCACCAATGCACATAGCTAAACCCAAGAAGGAATGCGAATGCTTGGTGACAGGAATGAACATGGCCAGCCGGCCCATTCACTCCTCGTTGGTTAACTAAACGGGGCTGTGGGAAAGGGCTAAGAGGACCCTACCCCTAGGACAGAGTGTGCCACCGAAGTTCTGGTGACATCCAACCGGTAGTAACGCTCAAAAGGTATGAGGAGAGGCCCAGCTGGCTGCGGAGCAGATGTCCTGCAGTGGCACTCCCCTGAACAAAGCCCAAGAGGCGGCTAAGCCCCTTGTGGAATGAGCTCTGATGCCCCTTGGGGCTGCACTCCCTTTGCTTCATAAGCCATAGTATAGCATCCACAAGCCAATGTGAGAGGCATTGCTTTGAAATGGGACTGCCCTTGTGCAGGGGAGCCCTTGAAACAAAGAGCTGGTCGCTCTTGCGGAAAGCACTGGTCCTGGTCATATATGCTTGCAGAGCACGGACGGGACACAGAGCATTCAGCCCCTGATCCTCCGGGGAGGCACAGGGTGGAGGGTGAAAAGCGGATAGCTCCAAAACCTCCGAAGTGAACGCAGGGAAGCATTTCGGCATGAAGGCCGGGTTAGGCTTAAGGAAAACCTTATCTCCACTTAGGGAGAATTTGGCGCACGAGGGGTGAACCGAGAGTGCATGTAGCTCACTGACCCGTTTAGCAGATGTCAAGGCCGAGAGCAAAGCTGTCTTGAGGGACAGCAGCTTAAGGGAAATACTCCCCAGAGGCTCAAAAGGATACAGAGGCTGCGCTTCCAGCACCATGGAGAGGTCCCACTCTGGAACAGATCTCCTGATGACCGGCAAAGAGCGGCGTGCACCCTCCATAAATCTGCGGGTTAGAGGGTGCTGCCTGACGGTGGAGCCCTCAAAACCCACATGACAGGCTGAAATCGCAGCCAGGTAGACCTTAATAGTGGAAAAGGACCTGCCTCTTTCCATGAGGTCTTGCAGGAAACACAAAATATCAGGCACCGAGCACTGATAAGATGTGAGACCACGCCCATCATACCACCCTTCGAACACGGCCCTGGCATTCTGAGTAGTGGCGATTACACGCGGCGGGAGCCCCAGTGCATTTAGGTTCGTCCTCTCACGGGCCAGGCCCAGAGAGCCACCCTGTCCGGGTGGGGGTGGTAAATCTCCCCGTTGGCTTGGGACAGTATGTCCGTGTGAGGGGGGAGGCGCCATGGCTCGGCGTATAACAGAAGGATTATCTCTGCCAGCCACGGGGCTTTGGGCCACCTGGGTGCTATCAGAATGAGAGATAGGCCGTCCTCTCTCACCCTGGCCAGTGTGAAAATTATCAGGCACAGGGGAGGAAAAGCATACAGCAGCACTTTGGGCCATGGGTGGGCCAGTGCGTCTGCCCCGAGGGGCGCGTCCACGTTCTTTAGCGAGAAGAACATAGGACAATGGTGATTTTCGCATGAGGCGAAAAGATCTACGGCTGCCAGTCCGAATCTCATCCATAACCTCTCCACTATCTGCGGGTGAAGACGCCAATCCCCGTAGATTGGGTTTCCCCTCGATAGCAGATCCGCGCCTCTGTTCCGAATGCCCGGGACATGAGTCACGCGTAATGACAGAAAAACCTGTCTGCTCCACACCAAAAGCCTGTAAGCTAGAACGTGGAGTTTCGACGAGCGCATGCCGCCCTGACGGTTGATATAAGCCACTGCCGTGGTATTATCGCACCGTACTAGAACGGGATCTCCCTGCAGGCAAGGCAGAAAATGATTCAGAGCTTTCCAAATGGTAAAAGCTCTAAATAGTTAATGTGCGCTGAACGTAGTCTGCCAGCCACAGACCGTTCAGCCTTCCTGGGTGGTTCCCCAGCCTGTTAAGGACGCATCTGTCGTCAAAACTTTTCGCATCGTAACCGTCCCGAGGGGGGTTCCCCGTGCGTAAAAGTTCTCGCTCTCCCAATGGCGCAGGGCCGCCGAGCAGGCGCGCGTCACCGTTACAGAGCGGCAGAGATCGCGAATCGGGCTGAAATGTAGTGACAAAACCCATTTCGTGAACGCTCTCATTCTCAGGAGACCAACGGCACAACTTGGATAGATGAAGCCATGAGACCCTGCAGCCTAAGGCATGTGCGATATTGTACTCTCGCCCCTTCTCTGAACTGAGACAGACAGTCCATCAGCGAGCGAACGCGCTCTTGAGAGAGACGCGCTCGCATGGAGACTGAGTTCAATTCCAATCCCAGGAAAATTACATTCTGACTGGGAGTCAGATTGTTTTTGCTCGCATTCACCTTGAACCCGAGGATGTGATGTGCGCGAGCACCCGGCCGGTGTCCAGCGACACCTTCTCCTTTGATTTGGCTATGATGAGCCAGTAAGTCAGAATTCTCAGCCCTGATAGTCTCAGGGGTGCCACGCCCACCTCCGCACACAGACAGAAAGTTCGGGGACTTAAATTGCGCCCGAACGGAAGAACTGTGAATTCGTAACAAATGCCTTGGTAGGCGAAACGAAGATATTTCCTGTGTGGAGGGTAGATGCTAATGTGAAAGAAAGCATCTTTCAGATCGACTGATGTGAACCAGTCGTTCTGCTTTATGGCACAGGCGAGAGAGCCTTGTCACATTCTGAAATTGTATTTCCTCAAATGTTTGTTCAACACTCGAAGGTCCAATATAGGGCGGGGGCGCCATGCCTTTTGGAACATGAAAATACCAGGAATAAAAACCATGGTTTATCAGATTGGGTGGCACCATCTGAATCGCTCCCTTGTTAGGAGGGAGGAAATGTCCTCTTTCAGAATGTGTGAGGCGTTTTCTTCTGTGTGAGAAGAGAGAACGCCGTTGAAATGCGGAGGTTTTATTGCAAACTGTAGCTTGTAACCCTGGGTTATGGTACGCAAAAACCCACTCGGGCGCTGAAACGGCTTGCCAAGCCGCTTTGTGACTCGCAAGCGCCCCCGCTCGGGCCGGAGCGGGGCTGTATGGGGCCAGCTGGTTCATTTGTGATGCAAAGGCGCCATCTAGTGGGCACACTAGAGGCGACATGCAGGGGTTTGGAGGGATTTCCTCTCTCTGCAGTGAGAAGTTTTCTCTGCGGAGAGGTCTTCTCTCCAAAACGAATTCATTTGATTCGTAGCTTTGTGTGTTTTGTGTTGGGCAAACACTGGGGCCGAAGCTTTTAATAACTGGGTGAGGGGAACCAAGTGCGTGCGGTGTGGTAACACTGCTATGTACTTTTCCTCACGACAGCCACAAGTTACGGGGGGAGGGGGACACACACACACAACGTCCACTAACACACGGGCTGGGCAGCCACGAGATGGGATTAACCGACCGTAGGTGGGAGACTCTGAGTTAACGTTACTCCCAATGGTCGAACAACAGGCAGGGCGCTTGCGTTCGGGACCGCCTTGATAGGAAGGCATAAATTGAAAACCTCAACACGTAATCGTAACACATCAAGGCCCGTGAGACCGTTAACAGTCTAGCAGGACGCTCCAGCCGTGCTTATGAGCTTCGCGAAAACGTTCTTTAGAGTTGTTTCCTCAGACTGGGCGGTGGTCCAAGCGTTTACCCGTCGTAAATATTCCTATCCTGGTCGGTGGCGCTCTGTGGAGCTGGCCACACAATGTTGAGACGAACGGCCGGTCGCTCACAAACTTCCAGGAGGATGGACTGAGGCAAAACCGCGTGAGCGCTAGCCTAGGGAACGCTAAAAGGACCGCGTCATCCCCGTCGCCGGAACCGACCGGTTCGTCAACGAGAGTGAGGTTTTCCTGCGAAGATGTCCTCTTCAGGGAATGCGGATTGGGCTGATGTCAGCTCAAATATTTTAGAGAGGTGGCGCTCCGGGAGTCCCCCGGTAGCGCGTCATCATCACCGAGTCTCCCCTCCGAGTCAGAAAGGCCGAGCACGGCGCGCTGGGTCGTGCATCTAAAAGCCAGCTTAGTAAAAGCTACATGGGCAACAATTACAATGACCGCAATTCTCCGGGTTCTCCAAAGCTTCTTGAGCGTGTTAAGCCCAAGCAGACCGCGCAGAACGAGAGGGTCCTTAGCGGCGATGAGAGCACCACACGCGGCCGGGCAGGCTCGTCGTGATAGGCTGTTCCCCGGGGGAAGCGGCTGTTTAGACGGTCACATAGCCATGGGTGGGCCAGCGGTGAAGAACTCCGTGGCGGGCAGCCATGTAAGGAGGAGCAGGTGAAGGACAGCGAGAGTTTTTTTTTTTTTTTTTTTGCTCCGGATGCAAAAAACACAGCGGATAGGCTGAAGAAACGACTGTCACTCACGTCTGGCGGAGGCTGATCTGGCGATATGTCCTCCTGAAGAGCAGCGTAACGTTAATCCAACCGAACTGTGTCAATGCAGAGATCGCGAGAAGCGAATGTCAACTGAAGAATAGCAGCGCGCCCAGCTGTGATATGCCCGTAGGTAAGGGGGTGTGGCCTCACCTGGCGTTGGCTGCGCGCTTCTGTCTGTTAGCCAGACTTGGTGCAATTGGATGCTTCTGTAGAGGTCAGGTACGGATGCCCTTCCCATAGGTGGATCTCGAAACGAGATGATGAAAGAGAACCTTTTAAAAATCCACCCTTGATTGGTTCTGTATTCTTGTTCTCGGTGATGTTGTATCATTGTAAACATTTAAGTTTTGACAATAAAACAAATTAAAACAGGAAGTTGTGTGATGTTTTCTCCACTGTCGTCACTCCGTAAAGCCGCAGCGCCGCCATGTGGACAAATGTGGTACTTCAGCATTTTAAATGTAAAAGTTCACTCAGTTTTATTACAAAAAGATCATTTCATTTGTTACAACAGCTTATAGTCGTGACTGAATGAGCTGTACATCTGTTTTTATACAATGTTTTACAAGTAAAGCATGTTCAATGTACAAAAACTCGAGATAGTGGAAATTTCATGACTGATGAGAAACCAAATGTTGGTCACCTTTGAACACATCCTCGCAAAGAATCGAAATAAAACATGAATAATGACGAGATTCTGTGGTGAATCAATCCTGCTCACTCCTTCAAAAGTGCTTTAGACATTTCTCCCACAATTCCAGAAACGACGTCTGACCCGTGACGCTTTCCGCAGAAACATGAAGCGTTCAGTGGCGAGAGTTCGACCCCCGGCTGACCGACACACACACACACACACACACACGGACACACTGAACCGCTCCTGTAAAGTGCAGTTAAGAAAACGGAAATGCTGGTGTGAGCAGAATCATAAAGGAACTAAAAACGTGGCGTTACCCAGAAGCCCTTGCAGAACAGGATTGAGATTTGGAACAGCTGTTTGACACACATTCATGATTGTCCCGAAGCTGTGACGGGCTGAACACCAGCGCTGGAGAGAGGAGAACATCTACACACACACACACACGAACACCAGCGCTGGAGAGAGGAGAACATCTACACACACACACACACGAACACCAGCGCTGGAGAGAGGAGAACATCCACACACACACGAACACCAGCGCTGGAGAGAGGAGAACATCTACACACACACGGGTCACGGAGGACCGTGCTCTACTGACGGGACGAGACAGGACAACAGCAGCACTGCAAGGACATGATGATGGGCTTCTTTATAGCTTATAAATACAGTATCTACACAGTATGTGGTACAAAAATAGTTGAGCTTTTGTGGGCACTGAGATTTAAAAAAAGTGAAAAATGATCCTAAAAAACGCTCAGGCACGAGAAGTCGTGACACGAGCGAAGGAACGCGGCACTCCCGCTCCAGTGCCGCTCCGCCTCCGTCGCGTGCAGGTGAGGGCATCAGCGGGGGCATCGGCGAGGGCATCAGCGGGGGCATCGGCGAGGGCATCAGTAGAAAACAGTAGAAAAATAGGAGTACCATGTAGTGTCAGCGAGTGTCACAGTGTGTGCTGCTCCAGGCCTGCAGGGGGCGCTGCGCGTAGATTTGGCATTGGGTGAGCGTTTGATTCAGGACTCCAGGATTAAGGCAACGCATCACGTCTGTGTGGATTTAATAAATCTTTCTCTTTAAAAAAAAAAAAAAATGTACAAATTTCTTTTAATACAAAGCTCTATGGCGTAACCAATAAACACTGTATAGAAAATATATAAATATGTTTTCTTTTCTTTTAAAAAATGTACAGGGAGCCGCCAGACCCCAGACGCATCAGGAGAGTCTCGTCTCGAAGTCTCCAGACGGATATTTACACTGTGATGGGGGCGGGGCCTGCGCTAAGGGGGCGGGGCTCAGGACAAGTCCATGCAGGGTGAGGGCGGGTCAGGTGGTGTGGGCGGGGCCTGCACTAAGGGGGCGGGGCTCAGGATAAGTCTGCAGGGCGAGGGTGGGGACGGGTACAGGGGGCGTTGAGGGGCAGGGCTCAGGATGAGTCTGCAGGGCAGGGCGGGTACAGGGGTGGGGCCTGGGTTGAGGGGCGGGGCCTGTGGCTCCGGGGGCAGGGTCTGGGTTGAGGGGGCAGGGCTCAGGACGAGACTGCAGGGCGGGGACGGGTACAGGGGTGGGGCCTGGTTGAGGGGGCGGGGCTCAGGACGAGTCTGTGCGGGGTGAGGGTGGTACAAGGGCGGGGCCTGTGGCTCCGGGGGCGGGGTCTGGGTTGAGGGGGCGGGGCTCAGGACAAGTCTGTGCAGGGTGGGGCGGCTACAGGGGTGGGGCCTGGTTGAGGGGCGGGGCCTGTGCTCAGGGGGCGGGGCTCAGGACGAGTCTGTGCAGGGCGAGGGCGGGGGCGGGTACAGGTGGTGTGAGTAGCTGCGGTCGGTGTAGGGTGAGGGTGGGCAGCTCTCGCAGTTCTCCTCCGCCGACAGGTACTGGCTGCGCGGTGTGGGCGGCGGCGGCAGCGGCTCCGAGTCGTAGTTCACGTCGCTAGCGTAGCCCTTAGCAGCCGCGGATGTGGGCGGAGCCCGGCGGCCCGGCGTGTAGTCGCTGTCACACACGTCTGTGCTGCACGGCGTCGTCGGCGGGGCGAAGTGACGGTAACTGTACGGCCTGTAGCTGCAGAACACACACACACACACACAGTCAAGCGCTGCACGCCGTAACACCTCGTCACCTGTGTCGCGCGGCGTTACCTGTACGAGCGGTGCGTCGACGGGCTGTTGGACGAGTAGCCCAGCTCCACGGTGTACTGAGACCTCACGGTGGCCGGGGACGGGGGGGGGTTCAGGATCTGCACACATCATAACCTCATATTACTGGGATCAAGAATATTGTAATAAATGTTATATTGTTAGTAAATATAAAAAAAAAAAAAGTATGATACATTTAATAGTACATTGTATAGATGTATAGTACATTTAATAGATGATAATGTCGATTATCTAAAGAGCTTTATATGATACGGATCGTTTCAAAGCAACTTATGGCGCTTTTCCACTGCATAGTACGGTACGGTTCGGTTCGGTACGGCACGCTTTAAATGGTACCTGGTCTGTTGAGGTTCCAAGCGTATCGTACCGGTACTAAAATGTGACGTAAAAACACTGCAGATCACTGATTGGTCAGACAGAATCGTCACTACCAGCATCATTGGACACTAAACCCGCTAGATTTAAATAACCAGTAGACAACAGCCAACGCGGTAGCATCTGTTTTTTAAACTTTAAAAAGAAATGGCTGAATCGTGGTCAGTGGACGAGGTGCAGACGTTCCTCTCGTTGGTTGCCGAGGAGCGGATCCAGCGAGAGCTATCACCGGACCTACAAACAGTGTAGGGACAAAATAACGATCAGTCCCACCCACTTTGAAGGGGTACTAACTGCGGTGGAAAAGCAACCGAGCTAAAGCGAACCGTGCCGTACCGAGTCGAACCGAGCCGTACCACGCAGTGGAAAAGCGAAGCGAGCCGAACCGTTCCGCGCCGAGTCGAACCGTACCGAGCCGAACCGAGCCGTACCAGCAGTGGAAAAGCGCCATTATAATGTTTAAAGAAAGCTAATCTTTCCTTTCTGATCACGTTTACACTGAAATTAATAGCGTTTTTAAGTAATATAAAGATGACATTCTTTTTCTCTGAAATGATAATTAAGAGTTTGATTACTCGTTACAGTCGTCCCATCAGGAAACACTGCTTGATGTATTAGCTAACATTAACACTGAGCAACGCATTTGTTACAGTGTTAATAATGTTGAATCAGAATCAGTTCCTCTTGCAGCATCTCTGCTCTTCTCTGATGATGTGGGCGGGGCTATAACCTGTCACTCACATGAGATCAGCCAATAGCAAACCACAACCATCCAATCAATTCCACACAGACACAGTCAAGCCCCGCCCACATTTGCTCTTGTTCCTGAAGCGTTTCACTCGATATACGACACAATAGAGGAGAAGAGACCAGCGCAACTTCCCTTTCATGATGACTTTAACTATATTTAAAGCAGTGCTATAATGGCCTTTCACCAGATGTAGAATACGCCTCTGACGTCCCCAGTGTGTGTGTGTGTGTGTGTGTGTGTGTGTGTGTGTGAAGCTTCAGCTCAAGGGTTAGGGTGACTGAGGGAGACGGACCGGAGGGAAGAACGGGCCCTTGGTGCTGGACGAGCTGCTGGAGGAGGCGCCGGTCACATGAGCGCGGTCGTACGGCGGCCCACTGCTGCCTCCCATGATGCTCAGCGAGCCGATCACAGACTTCCCCCGAGACATGCCTGAGAGAGAGAGGAACACACGTGAGCAGCTGCACACACACACGCACCTGCACACACACACACACACACACACACACACACACACACACCTGCACACACACACACCTGCACACAGACACACACACACACACACACAGACACCTGGCAGCGAGCCGCTCAGAGAGCCGGGGCTGGACACACACACACCTGCACACACACCTCTACACACACACATGCACACACACACCTCTACACACACACATGCACACACACACCTCTACACACACACGCACACCTGCACACACACCTCTACACACACACACCTGGACACACACACACACCTGGCAGCGAGCCGCTCAGAGAGCCGGGGCTGGACACACACACACCTGCACACACACCTATACACACACACACACACACCTCTACACACACACACCTCTACACACACACACCTGGCAGCGAGCCGCTCAGAGAGCCGGGGCTGGACACACACACACCTGCACACACACCTCTACACACACACACCTCTACACACACACACACCTCTACACACACACACACACACCTCTACACACACACACCTGGACACACACCTCTACACACACACACCTGGCAGCGAGCCGCTCAGAGAGCCGGGGCTGGACACACACACACCTGCACACACACCTCTACACACACACACACCTCTACACACACACACACACACCTCTACACACCAGAGATGGGGACTCGAGTTTGAGACTCGGACTCGAGTGCGACTTAAGTCCCACACACAGTGACTTCAGACTCGACTTGAGACTCGTCCTCGAAAGACTTCAGACTCGACTCGGACTCGAGCTGCGGGACTCGTGAACAATGTTTATTTTTAGGAAATGTCTGATGAGCTCGCTGTTATCCCCCTCCCTCCGTTACAGCCTGCCTATGTAACCACGTACTACGTGGCCTATTGCTGGCAGCGCGCGCGCGACCACACATGAGAGGATAACAAACCAAAAGTTCGACTGCACCGGCCGCCGCTGTGCCATTCATCGTTAGCTTTGGGTTCAAAAACTTCAAACAAGACGCGCTCAAAACAAGCGCTCAATGCAAAATATGCAGGATCACGATAAAAGATTCTGGCTCAACTACATCTAATTTTATCAGGCGTCTGAAAACGCACCCTGATAGGTGAGTAAACATGTTTAGCTCAGCATTGACCATCTACCGTTAGCTTGCTTATTGCTTTAGCTACCTAACGTTACGAGAGGTTAACTCCGAGTGTCTTCCTTATGAAATATGAATGAGCGTTTGTTTAATTGGCAAACTTGTGGTGGTCGATTAACGTAACGTTAATCATTTACGTGCCGCTGGCTGCCCGTTGTCTACAAACAGGTTACAGGATTATTGTTGATCATGTAACGTTACTGTTTCATTTAGTTATAACGTTACACTGGTTTGAGAGTCTGGGATGTGTTGACTTACAGTATATAAGCTATGATTAGTTGCATAGGCAGTGCAGCCAGAAGAAGCCAGAAATGTTTTGTGGCCCATAGTGTGTTAAGAGAAGAGAAGGTTAACCAGTCTGATCTCACCCTTTGGATTTTTTTTATTTCTAAACATTTTGTTCTTAACAAGTTACATGCCATAAGTTGGTCAGTTGCTTCACATTTACACTAAAGATTTTGAGCATTTTAATGTTTTGGAAGTTTGGAAGTTAGTTTATTTGCATTTAGCTACACTGATGTTTTGCACTAAATAGGAGTATGTCAATTTTAGTGAGTTATATCATTTTCTATATTTGGTCTTATGTCTTGGTATGTTCCAGCTACAAGGCAAAATAAAGAAATTAACTAAAGGTAAAGCATTCTTGGTGTTTTTGTCATGTTGCAATAGCCTGTTTATACTGATTATATACCAAAATCAAAGCTGATACTGTATGCTAATAGATAAAGGAGTCATAATAACATATGGTACCACTTTATTTTGATAGTCCACTTTATACATTCTACTAACTATAAGTAACTTTGCAGCTGCATGTCAACTAAATCTCATTAGAGTATAAGTAGGCTTAATATCTGCTAATTATATATTATAATTTCTAATTTTGTTGGTTCCCCAACAGATATTCTACTGACTATAAGTAACTTGGCAACTACAAGTCAACTTGTTCTCCAAACCCGAACCCACATCATAACCTGACAGTCTACCACAGTCTACTAATACTCTAATGAGAGTCAGTTAGTTGACATGTAGTTGAAAATGTACATGGTTAGTTGAATGTCTAAAGTGGACAATCGAAATAAAGTGTAACCTAACATATTACATGCTTTGAATTCCTTATATAAAGTTATGCAGTGTTCTAAGCAACCTGGATGGGTCGCTGTACGTGATGCAACACTTATAACCACAAGAGACTTGAGACTTGACTTGGACTCTAGCTCAGAGACTTGTGAGCATCTCTGCTACACACACACACACCTCTACACACACACACACACACACACACACACACACCTCTACACACACACACACACACCTCTACACACACACACACACACACACCTCTACACACACACCTGGACACACACACCTGGACACACACACCTGGACACACACACCTGGACACACACACACCTGGACACACACCTGGCAGCGAGCCGCTCAGAGAGCCGGGGCTGGACACACACACCTGGACACACACACACACACACACACCTGGAAGCGAGCCGCTCAGAGAGCCGGGGCTGGACACACACACACACACACACCTGGAAGCGAGCCGCTCAGAGAGCCGGGGCTGGACACACACACACCTGGACACACACACACACACACACACACACACACACACACCTGGAAGCGAGCCGCTCAGAGAGCCGGGGCTGGACACACACACACACACACCTGGAAGCGAGCCGCTCAGAGAGCCGGGGCTGGACACACACACACCTGGACACACACACACACACACACACACACACACACACCTGGAAGCGAGCCGCTCAGAGAGCCGGGGCTGGACACACACACACACACACCTGGAAGCGAGCCGCTCAGAGAGCCGGGGCTGGACACACACACACCTGGACACACACACACACACACACACACACACACACCTGGAAGCGAGCCGCTCAGAGAGCCGGGGCTGGACACACACACACACACACCTGGAAGCGAGCCGCTCAGAGAGCCGGGGTGAGGCACGTATCCCAGAGGCACCGTGGAGGGCCCGTGGACCACGAAGTCGTTGGTCATGGTCTCGCCGTCGTCCTTCATCTGAGGACACAGCACTCGCTGGCACACGAAGTACACGGCGCCCACCACGAACAGCACCAGCACCACGCCCACGATCGAGCCGATGGTGTTACTGGGGGGAAACGCCGGCTCCTCCGTCGCATCTGGGGACCGCACACACACACACACACACAGTGTTTAATACAACTGAATCCTTTTGTAGATTAATATCAAATTACGTTTTAATGACGGACATCTTTGTCCAGTATGGACGTGTGTGTCACTCTGTTAAATGTAAAGTGTGTACGTACAGCAGCCGATCTCGTCGGAGTTGTCCGTACAGTCGGTGTTGTGGTCGCACTTCTTGTGCCGGCCGATGCACTGGCCATTGGCGCAGGTGAACTGATCCATGGGACAGAAAACTGCAGAGAGAGAGACAGAGGCGTCAGGGAACGAGCAGGAACACACACACACACACACATACAGTAATATGGCAGTAATATGGTGATGTGAGTCCGTGTCGGGACTCGAGGGAGCCGCCGGTCCTCACCTTCACACTTGCTCTCGTCGGACCGGTCCTGGCAGTCGACGTCGCCGTTGCAGCGCAGCGCGAGATGCACACACTGCCGGCTGTCACACTGGAACTCCTCGTCCGAACACACCGGACACTCGCGCTCGTCACTGCTGTCGTCACACTCCGCGAAGCCGTCGCAGCGCCAGGCCTGAGGGATGCAGTCCACCTCGCCCGACACACACGAGAACTGCTCAGGGGAACAGGTGGGCGGCTCTGGGGAACACACACACGCGTATGAGAGAGAGAGTGTGTGCGTGCGTGTGTGTGTGTGTGTGTGTCTGAGGGATGCAGTCCACCTCGCCCCACACACACGAGAACTGCTCAGGGGAACAGGTGGGCGGCTCTGGGGAACACACACACGCGTATGAGAGAGAGAGTGTGTGCGTGCGTGTGTGTGTGTGTGTGTGTCTGAGGGATGCAGTCCACCTCGCCCCACACACACGAGAACTGCTCAGGGGAACAGGTGGGCGGCTCTGGGGAACACACACACGCGTATGAGAGAGAGAGTGTGTGCGTGCGTGTGTGTGTGTGTGTGTGTGTGTGTGTGTGTGTGTGTCTGAGGGATGCAGTCCACCTCGCCCGACACACACGAGAACTGCTCAGGGGAACAGGTGGGCGGCTCTGGGGAACACACACACGCGTATGAGAGAGAGAGTGTGTGCGTGCGTGTGTGTGTGTGTGTGTGTGTGTGTGTCTGAGGGATGCAGTCCACCTCGCCCCACACACACGAGAACTGCTCAGGGGAACAGGTGGGCGGCTCTGGGGAACACACACACGCGTATGAGAGAGAGAGTGTGTGCGTGCGTGTGTGTGTGTGTGTGTGTGTGTGTGTGTGTGTGTGTGTGTGTGTGTGTTTCTGAGGGATGCAGTCCACCTCGCCCGACACACACGAGAACTGCTCAGGGGAACAGGTGGGCGGCTCTGGGGAACACACACACGCGTATGAGAGAGAGAGTGTGTGCGTGTGTGTGTGTGTGTGTGTGTGTGTGTGAGTATTGATCCTGTGAGCTGATCTGTGTGTGTGTGTGTGTGTGTGTGTCTGAGGGATGCAGTCCACCTCGCCCGACACACACGAGAACTGCTCAGGGGAACAGGTGGGCGGCTCTGGGGAACACACACACGCGTATGAGAGAGAGAGTGTGTGCGTGCGTGTGTGTGTGTGTGTGTGTGTGTGTGTGTGTGTGTGTGTGTGTGTGTCTGAGGGATGCAGTCCACCTCGCCCGACACACACGAGAACTGCTCAGGGGAACAGGTGGGCGGCTCTGGGGAACACACACGCGTATGAGAGAGAGAGTGTGTGCGTGCGTGTGTGTGTGTGTGTGTGTGTGTGTGTGTGTCTGAGGGATGCAGTCCACCTCGCCCGACACACACGAGAGTTGCTCAGGGGAACAGGTGGGCGGCTCTGGGGAACACACACACGCGTGTGAGTGTGTGTGTGTGTGTGTGAGAGAGAGTGTGTGTGTGTGTGTGTGTGTGTGTGAGTGAGTGTGTCTGAGGGATGCAGTCCACCTCGCCCGACACACACGAGAACTGCTCAGGGGAACAGGTGGGCGGCTCTGGGGAACACACACACGCGTGTGAGAGTGTGTGTGTGTGTGTGTGTGTGAGAGAGAGAGTGTGTGTGTGTGTGTGTGTGTGAGTGAGTGTGTCTGAGGGATGCAGTCCACCTCGCCCGACACACACGAGAACTGCTCAGGGGAACAGGTGGGCGGCTCTGGGGAACACACACACGCGTATGAGAGAGAGAGTGTGTGCGTGTGTGTGTGTGTGTGTGAGTATTGATCCTGTGAGCTGATCTGTGTGTGTGTGTGTGTACCTCCACAGGAGAGCTCGTCCTGCAGCAGCACCAGGTGAACGGGACACGAGCAGCGAGTGGTTCCGTCTCCCTTCACGATACAGATGTGAGAGCAGCCGCCGTTATCAGACGTGCAGGGGTGTTTATCTGCGCACACACACACACACTTTAGCTAACATGATCAATACTCACTCACACACACTCACTCAGTCACTCACACAGATCAGCTAACAGGATCAATACTCACACACACACGCTCACACACACACACTCACTGTACTCCTCCATGTCGAGCTCGTGTACGGCGTGGATGTCGCTCAGAGATGTGATCCGCGCCTGGATCTTGGTTCGTCCTTCACGCGTGACCTTGTGTATGCGCTCGATCATCTGCTGCTGCCGGTCGATCCAGTACAGGAAGCTCCCGAACACCGTCAGGCCCACCGGCTGCAGGATGTTCGAGTCCTCGATCACGATCCGATTGGCTCCTGCGGAGAGAGGGGAGTGGTCAGGGGCTGAGGGGCGTGGTCAGGGGCTGAGGGGCGGGGCCACGGGAGCACTCACGGGGAGCGACACAAAACAGCAAAAGCACATATTTATTTTTCATTTTCATTTGAGTTAGTTTCAGTAATTTTGTTGTGTTTTTGTTTATTAGTTATTTTAGTCTACTGAACTAAAAATATAAATTATGTAGAGTAAAATAACTAATAAACATCACAAAAACACTAATTAAAATAAATATGTCATTTAACTCTTGTGTCAAATGAGTGATTCTAGAACATTAATTTAAACTAAATAATGGGTTAGGGTTAACTCAAATCACTTTTGTTTAATATATAAAGAGTTAGTGTGTAGTTGCAGTTAACTGTAATAACCCTGAGCCGTTCGTCACACGCTTTCTTGGAAATGTTCTTCATTAAAAACACATTGCACATATGTATAATTATATATGTACTTACAGTTTCTCTTCATGTGTATATATAGTTATATGACATACATATGTATAATTTGTATGCATTCTTATCAAGTTAATTTTATGTAGTCATTTAATTTGATCTATTCTTCTCTTTCCTCATGTTTATGTATTGATGCGTTTGCATATCCAGAACCTGTATGAGCTCATAACCCCAGCACTGTCTGATCCAGCATCGCTGTGACGCTTCCTCGTGTATGTAAAGCTTAATAAAGGATGAACATCAGACGTGTGCAGGCGGGACACGTGTCTGGAGACTGATGGTCACGTGACCGTGCTTGACCTTTGCCCTCACCGGACAGGTCGCTGCTCTCGATGCGCCGCAGGTCCATGTCGACCCAGAAGAGTTTGCCCAGCTCGTTGTCGATGGCCAGCGCGGCCGGCTTGCCCAGATTGCTGAAGAACAGAACCTCTCGCTCTGTCCCGTCCAGAGCCGACCGCTCGATCTTCGGCGAGCGCTCCTGCAGATTCGTGAAGTACATGTACCTGTGGAGGAGACGGCACTGAGGTCACATGACAGCACACGGCAAGATCACATGACGGCACACGGCGAGATCACATGACGGCACTGTGATCACGTGACGGCACACGGCGAGATCACATGACGGCACTGAGATCACGTGACGGCACTGAGATCACATGACGGCACACGGCGAGATCACATGACGGCACACGGCGAGATCACATGACGGCACTGAGATCACATGACGGCACTGAGATCACATGACGACACACGGCACTGAGATCACATGACGACACACGGCGAGATCACATGACGGCACACGGCGAGATCACATGACGGCACACGGCGAGATTACAGGTGTGTTCGACATCGGCTGCATGTAACTGATCGGCGAGAGTAGCCGCGTGCAGGCGGGGAGGAGCTGCAAACGGAGACGTGAAGTCGGACACTTTCTGGTTCCTGTAGTGACAGCTCACGTGGTGTTTGTATACTTTAGCACAGCTGAAGTGAAATAAATGCAATATTTGCCAAATACACAGATGTTTCACATGACGGCACTGAGATCATATGACGGCACACGGCGAGATCACATGACGGCACACGGCGAGATTACATGACGGCACACGGCGAGATCACATGACGGCACACGGCGAGATCACATGACGGCACTGAGGTCACATGACGGCACACGGCGAGATCACATGATGGCACTGAGATCACATGACAGCACACGGCGAGATCACATGACGGCACTGAGATCACATGACGGCACTGAGATCACATGACGGCAGACGGCGAGATTACATGACGGCACTGAGATCACATGACGGCACACGGCGAGATCACATGACGGCACTGAGATCACATGACGGCACACGGTGAGATCACATGACGGCACTGAGATCACATGACGGCACTGAGATCACATGACGGCACACGGCGAGATCACATGACGGCACTGAGATCACATGACGGCACACGGTGAGATCACATGACGGCACTGAGATCACAGGCTTGTTCGACTTCATGCAGCTCTGCGCAGACCGATCGGCGGCTGACTTGAAGCAGTGCATGCCGGTTAGAAATGTTGTCCGACTTGATACAGCGCCGACGCCACGTGACTGTGACGTATGCCATCAAAATACCGCGAGAGCGATTCGAGAGCAGCCGGAGAACTCAGCCAGCGCATATTCTGAAGAGCGGCTGCTCGGGGCTGCACAAGCTCTGATGACGACACAGCTGTTCCACGATTGGCCGGATTCACCGCATGACAACGATCACGTGCGTTTCGTGTTTATTCTCACACCTTTAGTTCCACTAAAGCTCACAAATCAGTTTTTTATAACAGTAAACACTCTTTTCATGTAGTCGTGATGTTAGGCTATATTGTGTTATGTTTATCAAAATAAAAGTGATTAAAAACGTCGACTGCACTTCATTGATAGTGGCTATTTTGAACTTTATTCTTGTTCAAACAGATGCAGTATGAAGCAGTACATAAAGTAATGAATGAAAATGTGTCTGAAACATCTGTGCATTTGGCAAATATTGAATTTATTTCACTTCAGCAGTGATAAGTATACAAACACCACGTGAGCTGTCACTACGGGAACCAGAAAGTGTCCGACTTCACGTCTCCATTTGCAGCTCCTCCCCGCCTGCACGCGGCTACTCTCGCCGATCGGTTACATCCAGCCACAGCCGATGTCGAACACACCTCACATGACGGCACACTCTGAGATCACATGACGGCACTGAGGTCACATGACGGCACACGGCGAGATCACATGACGGCACTGAGATCACATGACGGCACACGGCGAGATCACATGATGGCACTGAGATCACATGACGGCACACGGCGAGATCACATGATGGCACACTCTGAGATCACATGACGGCACACGGCGAGATTACATGACGGCACTGAGATCACATGACGGCACACTGAGATCACATGACGGCACACTCTGAGATCACATGACGGCACACGGCGAGATTACATGACGGCACACGGCGAGATTACATGACGGCACACGGCGAGATTACATGACGGCACACGGCGAGATTACATGACGGCACACTCTGAGATCACATGACGGCACACGGCGAGATTACATGACGGCACACGGCGAGATTACATGACGGCACTGAGATCACATGACGGCACACTCTGAGATCACATGACGGCACACTCTGAGATCACATGACGGCAGACGGCGAGATTACATGACGGCACTGAGGTCACATGACGGCACACGGCGAGATCACATGACGGCACTGAGATCACATGACGCCAGACGGCGAGATTACATGACGGCACTGAGATCACATGACGGCACACTCTGAGATCACAAGACGGCACACGGCGAGATCACATGACGGCACTGAGATCACATGACGGCACACTCTGAGATCACATGACGGCACACGGCGAGATCACATGACGGCACTGAGATCACATGACGGCAGACGGCGAGATTACATGACGGCACTGAGATCACATGACGGCACACGGCGAGATCACATGACGGCACTGAGATCACATGACGGCACACGGCGAGATCACATGATGGCACTGAGATCACATGACGGCACACTCTGAGATCACATGACGGCACTGAGGTCACATGACGGCACACGGCGAGATCACATGACGGCACACTGCGAGATCACATGACGGCACTGAGATCACATGACGGCACACGGCGAGATCACATGATGGCACTGAGATCACATGACGGCACACGGCGAGATCACATGATGGCACACTCTGAGATCACATGACGGCACACGGCGAGATTACATGACGGCACTGAGATCACATGACGGCACTGAGATCACATGACGGCACACGGCGAGATCACATGACGGCACACGGCGAGATCACATGACGGCACACGGCGAGATCACATGACGGCACTGAGATCACATGACGGCACACGGCGAGATCACATGACGGCACTGAGATCACATGACGGCACACTCTGAGATCGCATGACGGCACTGAGCGGCGCTCACCCTCGCTCAGGGTTGACCACTATGGCGCGGGGTTTGTCGTGTTCTCCGCGCAGCACCACTCCGACCCGCGAGCCGTCGAGCCGTGTGACGTTGATGACGTTGGTGACCTCGCTGGTCCAGTAGATGAAGCGGCTGTAGACGTCGATGCTGAGATCATAGGGCTGGAGACCGAGACTCGGGCCACCGGACACCACCGTCACACTCTGAGGAACACACACACACATTAGACCACCGTCACACTCTGAGGAACACACACACACACATTAGACCACCGTCACACTCTGAGGAACACACACACACACACATCAGACCCGTCACACTCTGAGGAACACACACACACACATCAGACCCGTCACACTCTGAGGAACACACACACACACACATCAGCACCCCCCACACACACCCTCTGAGGAACTAAATCTACTGTAGATCTAGTAGTCTAAAATCTTATTGTATTTTATCGTCTAAAACTAAAACTGATGACTAAACTATGACTAAAACTAAATGACATTTTAGTCAGAAGACTACAGCTGTGTCCTATAGTGAACACTCGTCCACTCGTTCTCCTTTTATCTTACATGTTACTTTATAAAACAATATTAACAACAATGACTTTATTTTGTAATTATTAGGGGTGTAACGGTACATGTATTCGTATTGAACCATTTCGGTTCGAGGCTTCCGGTTCGGTACGCATACAAACCGAACGATTCCTTGGACCATTTTTCCTGCCGACAAAATTCGCGCTGGCGCGATCACCACAACGTTGCGCAACATCAAATGGCAAGCGTAATGAAAGCGGAACAAAACTGCGCTATTGTGCTTCACGGATCGTTTATCAGTTCGGAGCAGCAACATCTGTGCAGCGGGAGCCGATCTCGATCAAGCGACACTAGCCGCGTTTCCATTACCCTTCAAATTGCGCAAATTGAAATTGCAAATTAAAAAATACGCTCAATGGAAACACGTCAATTTCGCAAAAACTCCTATTTATCGCAAAAAAGTTTTTACGCTCGCATGAGTTGGTTTTTCAGGCAATTCGAAAAAGGAATATTTCGCAAAACTGCAATGGAAACAGTTTTTGCGCAATTACAGTCACCTGACTTAGAAGGCGCGTGTGTTTGGGGTCCGTGTAGGCTATTGCGTCCATTCGTTTTTCCTTTAACTCGTATGAAAAACATGCTTTCTTCTTTATTAGTTTTTAGACTGGTGAAAAAATATTCACATACAAACTTATTTTCCTTATATATTGCTTATTTAATTGAAAATCAAATAGGCCTAATTGACATAGGCCTACAACTTTGCGAAATTTGATTTCTGCATTTCATTTTGACCCGGAACATTTAGGTAATATGGAGCGTCTGTGAAAAAATAAAATAGCCTAAATAAAAAAAAATCTGTGGCGACGGTTTTGCAATCCCTCCCCTCAAGTTTATAAACCGTAGGCCTCACGGTTGAGTACAAACTGTTCCCTCGATCGGTTTAACAAATCGTGCCCACGGATTAATAAACTGTAGGCCTATACCCACGATATCCTAATCCGCACGGGAGAAAAAAGCTCAGTAGGCTATAATACAATAGCAAAAAATTCTATATTTCAAATATAGAACTTCTATATATTTCAAATATAGACTTCTCATAGAAAAAAAGAAATATAACACAAACTCATTTTCCAAAACTGTAAAAGGTTATATAAAAATAATACATTCATCAATTATTTTATGATAAACATATTACTGTCTTAAGTGAAGTCATTTATAGTTATAAACGCAAATAATAATAATAATTATTATTATTATAGCCTATTACATTTATTAGGCTACATTTATTAGGCTACATATTTAGAAGACACTTTTATCCAAAAAAGGAACAAAGCAATTCGTCAAATGTCATTCATAATACAGGTTAGCCAATAATAATACAGGGCTAAGATTATCACAAATAAACACAAGATTTTGACGCATATCCAAGGGTTTGTGCGGAGTGTGGAGCGCGCACTGCATGACGGCGGCGCGGGCGCGAACACTTGCATTTTCCTGTCAACAGTGGAAACAACTTAAAATACTCTATCATGTATGGTCATACAGAAAATAATAATACATAATCCGCAACTACTTTTATTTGTGTAAACTCACAATAACAAGAAAACGTTCTTTTGCAAAATAAAAGAAAACAATCAGGTGCGCTTTCATGATCTCCGTGAACTGGAACATGTCTCAGAAATGAACTGAAACAAAATATAGCCTATGTAGGCTAAAGCTTGAAATGTCCACTTTTAAACGAACAAATTCAAATCGAAAGCAAATACCTTCTGATTATGTAATCCATATGAAAGGTGCATTTCTCTCTAAAGGCGCATCCGCTTTACAGTGGAGATGAAAATATGTTTGCAGTCGGCACTAACACTAGTTTATTAATAAACAATTAAAATGCCTCGTTATTTTTTCAGACACATTATCATTAGCCTATAATCACCTATAAATCACCTCTCTGTAGGCTATGGTTCCAGAGACATATGGCTCTTCTTATTCAGCACTGCGGGAAAAATATCATCGGGTTCTAATTTGGCCTTAGAAAACCAGTAAAATCAACATTTTTTTCATATTAATTTGTGAATATTTTAAATGTTTAATAAAGGGGCAAAAAGTCATAAACAAAAATCTGAAAATTCGTCTAAATTTATTTTTTTGCGCAGTTTTGGGTGTTTAGTAGCCTAGGCTACAGTTCAAATTCAAAATTTGTTGTTCAACTTTGCGCTTTAAAAATAGGCTACAACAACCGTTCATTTTTCGTTTTTCAATTAGGCTACAGGTTAAATAAATAAATAAATGGACGCAAAAATACACGGACCGTTTGGACAGAATACGAGACAAAGTTTTTTATTAAATTCATAAAAGAAAAAAGAATTGCAGGAATACTGGATTCTAAACCTCAAAGAAATGCCACAATCAAGACCTTGGAGCAGAAATGAGGGAGAAACACACAGAAACACCTCATGTGCCGTTCACAGTATTAGGGTCTTTCCTTACCATTAATGCTTGGATAACACACCACGTCTCCTTCCATTAATAATAATAATGTCGTCTAGTGCGGTGGCTGCACGTCTATTCACATGTGCTATAAACCTACAAAGTCCAAAGTCGCATAACATCGGTTAATGGAAACGCCGTCATTTCGCAATAGTTTTTTACCGATATTTAGAAAAAAATCGCAAAAGTTTTGCGCAAATCTGTAATGGAAACGCGGCTACTGTTACAACCGTTACAACACAGCGCTAAGAGATCCAGTAAAGAAAACATTTGAGTTCACCACTGAAGTAATAACATCGCTGCGAGATCTAGTGAGAAGCATTCACATTTCTCCGTTATTAACCGTAGATCTCTATTAGATCAAACAGCGCTGACGTGGACACCAGGAGAAACATTGTGCCGTGAATGAACTAGTAATACTTTACGTCCACAGACCAGCAACATTCACCATGGATTTAATATAGTAACACTAAATGTAACCAGTTTGGCTGGAATAGTGAAATGCTTTCAAGTACTTCACACATCTTTTTCCAGCACTTCAAAACTCAAATATTATATAAATAAATAGCCTATATGAAGAGTTCAGATGCAAAAGCCTCTATAAGTGCCATTTGAATTTTTCTAGAATGATCATTTTTATGAAGCTTGTACATTTAAGTTCAGTAATTTCACTCAAATGACAATTAATAGGCAATCTTCATTGCCATTTAAAGTAACACTATGTAGTTTTTCAACCTTCATAATATATATTTCCAAGACCCTTGTGATGGTACATCGACTTACAATAAGTTAAATGACACATCTGCCATAGCCTGACGTGGTCTGTATCGCTTTTACTCGCACTATGTAACTTCGGGTTTCGGGTAGTAACCGGGACACAAAAAGAACTACAAAATTCGACTGCTTTACAGCATACGTCACTTCCCCCACCACTTCCTCAAATTGTCTGTGGCCATTGTTGATTCCAAAGCCGGTGCTGGATAAACAGCGAGCGTGCGCGTGCGACCGTAGGCTGCGGTAGGCTAAATTATTTACGACAGCGGTAATGGACAATTCCGCTTCCAACCTGTAGGGCGACCGCTGAGGAAAAGTTACTTGGTGTTGCTTTAAGTGAAATTACTGAACTTAAATATACAAGCTTGATAAAAATGATCATTCTAGAAGAAAATTTCAAATGGCTTTTGCATCTAAACTCTTCATATATTTAAATGTTATTTTTAATGTGATGACCAAAACATTATTTGTTCATCCTTCAAAGATGACCCCCATTTATAAACCTGAAAGTTTCAAGATGTAGGAAAACTCACTTATTTAAAAAATATTTTTTCTTTTAACAAATAGGAAATTTCTCTGGCATTTCTTACTTTTTGCTGTATCGAAAACGTACCGAACCGTGACTTTAAAACCGAGGTACGTACCGAACCGTGATTTTTGTGTACCGTTACACCCCTAGTAATTATATATATCTCCGTGTCAGCTTTGTAGTTTCATTGATTAGAAGCTCTCGCTCAGATGACGAGGTCGTTATGATTATTACATGTGAATGAATACGCTCCAATAATAATCAAGAATACTCTTAACTCTTCCGTACAGTCTAACGAGTTAACAACAATGCCACCAATTATGAAAACACCTGCCAGTTAGTCAAACACATGCCTAAATTATATATTTTAATAAAAAAAGAATATACCTATATAATTTACCTTATTAATGTCATTTAATTAAATTAAAAAATGCATCTATATAATATTGTCTCAATATTTTAATGTTTTATTCAAGTAATGATTAATGAACGTGCACTCGAATTCAGAGAGGACTGTGGGTAAAAGTAGTGAACGCATGAAGGGAATGATGTCGAATTCGGACACCACTACAAAATGGCCGACCTGATACAGTGCCCTATATAGTGTGCAGGGAGCGGATTCGGACGCAGCGTCTGCCTAACTACAGCAGAGTGTGTGTGTGTGTGTGTGTGTGTGTGTGTGTGTGTGAGACCTGGTTGCCGTCCTCCTGCGCGCGGCGGATGAGGTTCTGCTTGGAGTCGATCCAGTACAGGTGCCGGTCCAGCGGGTCGTAGTCCAGTGCGCGCACGTTCCTCAGGCTGTGGATGGGCAGGATGATGTCGGGACTCTGCAGCTCGTCGATCACCATGCGGTTGATGGCCGTCTTCTGACTGAACAGCAGGAATGATGTGGGAGCTGGTGGACAGACAGAGTCATGTGACCGCTCATCATCTCAGTTACACAGCCTCAAACGCGCTCGAACCCGACAGCGCAGCCTAGGGTCGGGAACGGATACTTGTCATAAAATCTAAGTTTCGATTCCTGTGTGTATCTCAGCATGAGTGTAAAGCGCTGGAGCGAGAGAGTGTGTGTTCTGCGCTCGTGTGTGTCAGTGTACTGGACCCGCAGCTCTTAAAGGGACAGCGCTCATATTCCTCCGTCTCTATAATAACACTAATATTCCTCCGTCCGTCTCTATAATAACACTAATCACACAGCAGAAGACTGAGAACACACACTCGCTCTTCACTGAATCACTGTGACTATATTTCTAATGTATATTTTATTGATACTTTGATACTTGATTTTATTATACTTTATTTCAATCGTATCTTTGTTCAGTTTTATCTTTTGTTGCGATTGCTAATTTTGTATGTGTTCTTGTTTAATGACTGAGTGTTTATTGTGTTTAATAATGCTGGAGTGTGTATTAGTTCGGCTGGTTGTTCTTCTCTGGTGTGTTTAACCCTCAGGCTAACGCTCGTGTGTAAGAGTTCTTCAGCTGATGATTTCTGCTCATGATATTCAGACACAATTACATGTTCTGCAATAACACTAAATGTGAACGATATCTAAGGTTGTTGTTGTTTACCGTATTGGAATCGAAATTAGGAATCGATAAGCAGAATCGAAAGCGTAATGGTTAAAACTCAAACGATACCCAACCCTAGCGCTGCGCGGGATGAAGCGCGGGATGAAGCTAGCGCTGTGCGGGATGAAGCTAGCGCTGCGCGGGATGAAGCTAGCGCTGCGCGGGATGAAGCTAGCGCTGCGCGGGATGAAGCTAGCGCTGCGCGGGATGAAGCTAGCGCTGCGCGGGATGAAGCGCGGGATGAAGCTAGCGCTGCGCGGGATGAAGCGCGGGATGAAGCTAGCGCTGCGCGGGATGAAGCGCGGGATGAAGCTAGCGCTGCGCGGGATGAAGCGCGGGATAAAGCTAGCGCTGCGCGGGATGAAGCGCGGGATGAAGCTAGCGCTGCGCGGGATGAAGCTAACGCTGCTCGGGATGAAGCTAGCGCTGCGCGGGATGAAGCTAACGCTGCACGGGATGAAGCGCGGGATGAAGCTAGCGCTGCACGGGATGAAGCGCGGGATGAAGCTAGCACTGCGCGGGATGAAGCTAGCGCTGCGCAGGATGAAGCTAGCGCTGCACGGGATGAAGCTAACGCTGCACGGATGAAGCACGGGATGAAGCTAGCGCTGCGCGGGATGAAGCTAGCGCTGCGTGGGATAAAGCTAGCGCTGCGCGGGATGAAGCTAGCGCTGCACGGGATGAAGCTAACGCTGCACGGGATGAAGCTAACGCTGCACGGGATGAAGCACGGGATGAAGCTAGCGCTGTGCGGGATGAAGCTAGCGCTGCGCGGGATGAAGCGCGGGATGAAGCTAGCGCTGCGCGGGATGAAGCGCGGGATGAAGCGCGGGATGAAGCTAGCGCTGCGCGGGATGAAGCGCGGGATGAAGCTAGCGCTGCACGGGATGAAGCGCGGGATGAAGCTAGCGCTGCGCGGGATGAAGCGCGGGATGAAGCTAGCGCTGCGCGGGATGAAGCTAACGCTGCTCGGGATGAAGCTAGCGCTGCTCGGGATGAAGCTAACGCTGCACGGGATGAAGCGCGGGATGAAGCTAGCGCTGCACGGGATGAAGCGCGGGATGAAGCTAGCGCTGCGCGGGATGAAGCTAGCGCTGCGCGGGATGAAGCTAGCGCTGCGCGGGATGAAGCTAACGCTGCACGGATGAAGCACGGGATGAAGCTAGCGCTGCGCGGGATGAAGCTAGCGCTGTGCGGGATGAAGCGCGGGATGAAGCTAGCGCTGCGTGGGATAAAGCTAGCGCTGCGCGGATGTAGCGCTCACCGCTGCAGGTCTTGTTGTCGTGGTTGAGCAAGTAGTGCGCGGGGCAGCCGCACACGAAGCCCCGCACCGGCACGGCGAGGCACAGGTGCGAGCAGTGGCCGTTGGTGGCGGCGCAGGCGTTCCAGCCGGCCTGGCGGGACGAGTGGAACACCAGGATGTCCATGACGTAGTCCAGGTGCCCCTGTATGACGGTGCGGTTCTGCCCGCTGGTCTTGTTGGCACGCTCGATGCTGCGCTGGCTCCAGTCCGTCCAGTAGATGTAGTCCTGGTACTGGGTGAGTCCGAACGGGTGCGGGAGGTCGTCGGCGATCACCTCGCGCTCCAGACCTGAGGACATCATGAGAACGGACACACGTTACCTTTAAAGGGGCGGTTGATCATGATTTCCCTGTTCCGACTGTAGTGAGTGTGTAATGTTGATGTTTGAGCGTAAACAACATCTGCACAGTTACACACTCAACGCTCAGAGCAAACGGAGAAATTTACTTTTACAGAAATCGCTTTTTAAGGACTACAACAAACGGCTGGTAGAACTGCACGAGCTTCTTCACGGGTTAGTGACATCAGCAACCCTAAAATTTACATAAACTCCGTCCCCAGAACACGATTTATAGATTATCATGACAGAAAATGCTAATCACTGACTAGAAGAGAGTTAACTCCACATTAGCTGCATAAACCCATCAACTAACCATTCAGAAATGTTGTTTACATGTTGTCACTTATTCTTGAGTCTCTCCATCTTTATCTGACTCCGGTTTGAACATAAAAGGCTAAAAGTTCTTGAAATTTTCAGTGCGCGCGTGTGTGTGTGTGTGTGTGTGTGTGTGTGTGTGAAGTAAAAGGACACAAGCTCTTGTAGCTCCGCCCCCTGTGCCGGGAGCAGCAGCTCATTTGCATTTAAAGGGACACGCACACAAGCGGCGCGTTTTCGCTCACCCTCAAAAAGAGACAACTTGTACATGCTATAATAAATATCTGTGGGGTATTTTGAGCTGAAGCTTCACACACACACACACACACTCTGGGGACATCAGAGACTTATTCTACATCTTGTGAAAAGGGCATTATATCACCCCTTTAAATTGAAATGATTAATCTATAAGATAATCATTTTAATATGTAATAATATATTTATATTGAACGTTGAGCCTGATGAAACTGCGCAGGAAGCGTGAGGGCGGTGCTCACCCATCATGTTGGAGGACTCGATGAGCGTGGTGTCCAGGTCGGTCCAGTACAGACGGCGCTCCGCGTAGTCGATGGTCAGTCCGTTCGCTCGGCCCACGTTCGGCACCAGCGTGAGGCGTCCAGAACCGTCCATCGCAGACCGGTCGATCTTCGGCCGCCCACCCCACTCAGTCCAGTACATGAAGCTGAGAGAGAGAGAACGAGTGTGAGACACACACACACACACACACTCAGTCCAGTACATGAAGCTGAGAGAGAGAGAACGAGTGTGAGACACACACACACACACACACTCAGTCCAGTACATGAAGCTGAGAGAGAGAGAACGAGTGTGAGACACACACACACACACACACTCAGTCCAGTACATGAAGCTGAGAGAGAGAGAACGAGTGTGAGACACACACACACACACACACACACTCAGTCCAGTATATGAAGCTGAGAGAGAGAGAACGAGTGTGAGACACACACACACACACACACACACTCAGTCCAGTACATGAAGCTGAGAGAGAGAGAACGAGTGTGAGACACACACACACACACACACACACTCAGTCCAGTATATGAAGCTGAGAGAGAGAGAGAACGAGTGTGAGACACACACACACACACACACTCAGTCCAGTACATGAAGCTTAGAGAGAGAGAGAACAAGTGTGAGACACACACACACACACACACACACACTCACCCCTCGGCCGGGTCCAGTGCCAGGGCTCGAGGGCTGACACACACACACACACACACCCCTCGGCCGGGTCCAGTGCCAGGGCTCGAGGGCTGACACACACACACACACACACACACTCACCCCTCGGCCGGGTCCAGTGCCAGGGCTCGAGGGCTGACATACACACACACACACACTCTCACCCCTCGGCCGGGTCCAGTGCCAGGGCTCGAGGGCTGACACACACACACACACACTCACCCCTCGGCCGGGTCCAGTGCCAGGGCTCGAGGGCTGACACACACACACACACTCACCCCTCGGCAGGGTCCAGTGCCAGGGCTCGAGGGCTGACACACACACACACACACTCACCCCTCGGCCGGGTCCAGTGCCAGGGCTCG